CATGTTGTCCCCTGAACATAGCTACGTAAACAAATTCACAAAAAATGCTACACAATAAAGAACATCGTTGATTGACATCTATGAATTTTACAAAATCGTTAATGTATTCGCGATTTGGATACTGGACGATGGTAGTAGAAAACGACTGATCTGGAGATAGAACGTAATCTGAAGACATCTGCGTAAATTATACAATAAATAAAAGTTTAAAATGAATTATTTTGTTTACGAAAACCCAATATAGAAAATGCACGTAGAAAAAGTGCACAATTCATCATAAATTATATTGTTAGACAAATCTATTTTTATTTACAAAACCACATCCTAAAGCCTGAGAAAAATAAAACAGAAAAAGAAAAAAAGGGAACAACATTTTACAAAGCAGTGTGTCACGGAGAGTGTGTCTCCGTGACACGGAGATGGAGCGACACTTGAGTTATATCGAAAAAATTATGTACCCGTAATACAAACAATTTTTTTTTTCGACAACTTACTACTAAGTACCATAAATATTGAATAGAAATTTTGATGTGGTTACCTTTTTCAGTCAAATGGGCACTTTTTTGGAGTAAATGTGTGAGAAGCTTTCCAAAAAAATGTGTTGCCGAATGAATGTTGTCAATGAGATTGTACTTACAAAGTGTGGAGAGTGATTGGACGTGAAATGTGTGGATGGGAGAGTGAATGTGAGGATAGAGTGATTGTGAGAATGGCTCTCTTCTTAAAAGTGTGCATGCATGTGACAATTAATTGCAAAATGTGTGAAGATGATTGAATGTTAGTAAGAAAGTTGTTGTGTAATGAATAATGGTGTATACTTTTGTAAAGTTCAATGACAATTCCTTGCAAATTGAGTGAATGGTTTGAATGAATTCTGTATGGGACTATATTCACGTGTTGTTGTGTTGTCAACTTTTTGTACACATTTGGATATATATCAATGGATATTTTACACATCAATAATGTGGATTGTTGTCCTGTAATAATTGGAACGTTTCGGCAAACTCTAATTTTTTTTAATTTATTAAAGCTAATCGAGTTAATCAAACTCTAATATGTATAGAGAGTTGTAATTGCATTACAAGGATCCAAAGAACTACCACGTTTTGACTGTGTTTGTGGTGTGTCACCATGTACGCATTGACATTTCATGGTGTTCTAAAATAAAATATTAAAAAAAAATTTACAAAATTTCAAAGTAGAAGCGCTTTTCAATTTCATATTTTGGAAAATAGTTTCTCGGATAACATATTTTTAACAATTTCAAAATATGCACACAAAACACTATTAAAAATGAATTCAAAAATCAAAACTACAAAATTGAAACAGGAAGAGAAGAGACCCCCAAGTGTTTTGCATTGTATTGGTTGTAGTTGGTAACACTTATTTAAGAACATTAAATGCACGTGCAACTGAAGAAGTGGAAGGGCAGAAATGGAAAATAAACCATTCAAAATATTTGACTAAAAACATCTACTGCATGTGTCCACATGCATTGTCAGGAAAGCAGTACCTTCTCTGACACCAGTTATCCAAAGAGTTGAAATAATGATGATTAAAAATGGACAAGAATTCAATTGAATGGGGGCCAAACAAGCGCATTAACTCTACAATTTCATATACAAAGCTTTTGAATTCATGAGATCGGCCTCTCCGAAGGGTTACTAGAGAATGACATCTATGGACTTCTTATCGGACAAAAGATTGATTTTACAGTCTATATTATAATAATAGGAAAACCTTGTATTTTGAAATTGATTTTCACGAATGACCAAATTCTAATTAGAATAAAATATCCACGATAAATCAAAATAACAAATAAATAGGATTATTAGAATCACTAACAAGATTGGTATGTACAAATAAAAGAATATGTTTCAATATGAGACGATATATCCATACAGCTTAATTTTATTTTATATACTGACATTCATCATTAATAGAGATTATCATCGATTTAGGTCATAATACGAAATTTTTCCCTTGTGTTTGCAAAAATTCTAACCTCTACTCAGGAGTTAATATATTTAGGCTATTTTTCAAAGATTTATCTAAATTCTAGCCCCTGTTTGATGTGGATTAAAATCAGATTTTCAATAAATTTTGATAAAAATATGTGGTTAAAAAGTTTTGAATTTCATAAAATGAGTGATTAAAATTAATTGTTGAATTTGACTTGAATTAAAATCTTGATTTTAATTTTCCTCAAACAAACTATTTTTAATTTTTTGGTTTTCTTTTATGAAGGAATTAAAAATTTCACCCCATTCTGGAAAAGGAACCTCAAACCCAGTCCCAAAAGAACAATGCTATAGATACAAATTTATTCTACAGAATTGGTATATTTAAAAAAAAAAAAATCTGCATTTGTAGAGTTTTCGTCCCAAAAATAACCCAATTGGAATTGTACATTTCTATTCAATCTAAGCAGTAATCGAACCATTCTTCTACCCACGTCAAAGATTCAAACTCCGTTCCCGGTAAATACTAAATACACACTCCTGGCTTTTTTTTAAACATGAATTTTTTATTTTATTTATTTTATTATTATTATTTTTTGTTGAAGTCCTGTGTTCAAGTTCAATGATAAACTGCCATCATCCTCAACGCTCACTGAAATAAAAACCCAACAACAAAAATGAGCACAAACGTACATGGCAGGATGAAGAAACACCAACCAATTTCAACCTACAGGCAAGGGCGGACAGGGGTGGGGGGCTATAGGGTCAATTGATCCCCTAATTTCTGAGATTTTATTTTTTTTAAGAAGGTCAAAATTTAAAACATACTTTATTAATATATAATGCAACTGACAGCTCCAAATTCAATTTTGTGTCTCTGTCTCTCTTTCTCACAATCTGTCGGCTGCAGACTGTCATTTTCATTTACGATTTATTCACTATTTGAAAGTTTGATTGTAACTCCCTAACCTAAAGTATCTGGGTCCACCCCTCCCTACAGGGTCGTGTTTAACATTAGGGTGTTCCTGCCACAAAGAAATATACCACATGTCATGTTCACCTATTGAGTTTATGACAACCAAATTCATCAAAGAATCATAAGTATATAAAGAATATATCGATATATTTTCATCTTTGATATTCTTCAAACCATTGTTTCTCGGTAACTCACAGATTCGATGAAGCTGTTGGAAATATTGATGCAAGCTATGATGCTCAGATTCGAGTACGAGTATTGGGTATGGATACGTATCTTAAGTGTCAAATCTTCTTTTTTCTAAAAAGGTAATTAGTTCAAAACGTCCATACATTTATTGTGAAAAACGTACATACCTTTTTTTTTTTGACATTTTCGCCCTTACCTTCCACATTTCTTTGCCCTGAACATTATTTTCACTAATTTTTAACGTAAAATGGTCAATATACCCTCCTATTTAAATAAAACAAAAAAAAAGGAAAGAAAAATAAATAATAAATTACAATCTTACTCCTAAATATTTTAAAAAATAATTATTAGAAAGCCTAATAGCACAAAATGTCTCTACATTTAGCATATAGTGTGTAAAACGTCCATACGTTTCAAATTGGTAAAAAATGATACATTCCGTAATGAAACGTGAAAATAGGGATGAAAACAAAAAAGTTGAAACGTAGGGACGTTTTTCATAAGAAGTGTCAAATGTAGGGATTTTTTTGCTATTAGGCCTTATTAAAATATTAAAAATAACAAAAAAAAAAAAAAACTCTCTTTCTCTTCTCTTCTTTACCAAATGGATTAGCCACCTTAGAAGTAAAAAAACTCCAGCAAACCACCACCCACACTGTTAGACTACCATATCGTCGAAAAGTCCTCACTTCTCTTTACACATATCACGCAACATCCAACCTTGAAACCTTCATGCCAATAGATTTGTTTGAAATTGCAAGCAAAAATACCCAACTCGCGAATGCAAATACTAGCGGCATCACCTGTTCCGGAGTGACCCATACCATTTTCAACACACCAGTCGACTATACTCACTAGGACACCTCTCTTCATGGTCTTAAAATATCAACAGATGACTTAACAGTATGGAGGTTTGAAGGTTTGGTCGATGGTTGGTCGGAATTTTTCACTTCTAACTTGGCAGTTCCATTTAGAGAAGAAAAGAAGAGAGTTATTTATTATTATTTTTAAAATTTTTTTTAATAAGGCCTAATAGCAAAAAAAAATCCCTACGTCTCACATTTCTTGCGGAAAAATCCATAAGTTTCAATTTTTTTGCGTTTTCATCCCTATTTTCACTTTTCATTGAGGAAAACGTCATTTTCACCAATTTGAAATATAGGGACGTTTTGCACTATTAGATCTTTTAATACTTAGTTGGATTCACTTGCACTTTTTAAAACATTTAGGAGTAAGATTGTAATTTATTTTTTAATTTTCTTTTATTATTATTATTATTTTTTTTTTTTGCTTTTATTTAAATGGAGAGATATTTTGGTCGTTTTAAATTAAAATTGTGAAAAGAATGTTCAACACAAAAAAAATGTGGAACGTAAAGGCGAAAATGCCAAAAAATGAAAGGTATGAACGTTTTGTGCCAATTTCCCCTTCTAAAATATAGAATACGTGAACATTGTTAAAAAGAAACCAAATTTTCGACACAGATACATGGATATGCCTTTTAAACTATTTTTTTTTTAAATAAACCAATATCAATTATTCAGAAAAAAGAATATATATATTGAATAAGAGATTAGGATGAATACAATAGAATTTTGGGATTTAGTTTTCAATTATGGGAAGTTAATCACTAAATATGTTATATAAAATAGAAAATTAGAGATTTGATTGCATGAACTTATTTTGGAATACTAAGTAGCAATATATGGAACTCATTTTCATTCTATACAAAGAAAATCCCGACGAACAATACGGAGTGGGAAAGAAGGGGGGAAAAAGAAAAGGGAAAGAAACAATGAAAGAAGAAGAAATGACGAACTGTCCAGTTGAAATTTGAAGGATTCGACACATATTCCAAACCTATACTCATGTCGTGTTGACACGGATACTTCGTCCATTTCGAATAGTCTGAAGATTAGAGTGCAAGTGTTTGTTAAGAACACTTAATGCTAGGAAAACACCACCACATTAAAAAAAGAACTTACCATTATTTTAAAAACCAAAAACAACACATATGAGACGGAATCAAGAGTTCCTCTCATGTATCAAGATTTCTCAGCAAGTCATGGCACCACAGTTACATTGAACCTATTTGCATATACATAGTATAAATATAATGCCAATCCACATCCAATTTGTGTAGCTCCCTTGTAGAAATCTTCCCGAGGGAGATCCAATAATGCCACAATCCTACAAAGCAACCCCTCAGGAGAAATGCTTTGATTCTTGCAAAGCAGGTCAAGAAGAAACCACTGTGGGATAGAAGTTGCTCAGAAACAGTACGAGTATTAGAATAATTGGAAGAAAAGACTGGTTGACCCGTCCCCAAATGATCGAAGATCAGCAGGTCTAACAAGAGCCCTGCACAAAGGGCAAGTTCTCTCCCTTTCAAACCTGGAGGGGGGGGGGGGGGGGGG